AGGAGTAAAGCATTATAAATTAAAAGTTGGAATGAGCATATTTAGCGCTCATATGATGAATGCGCTCAGGAAAGTAATTTGATTTGGTAATACTTTTAAAAATATATGGTATGGATAATTTATGTAATTTGGGAGAGAAAACTTCTAAGGGTCAACAGTTGTCTTTATTTAATAAATTGGTTATAAGTGTCAGATTGGCATTTGTGAGAGAATGCTTACAAACATCAGCAGGAGGGTGGGGATGGAAAGTGCCAGTAAGCATGTTCACAACGTCATCTTTTCTCCTCTTTTCGTAGTAGAAAGAGTCTTAAGTTTCACAACTTGCTTTTACTGCATGCTGGCATATTGCTTAACACCAAATTCTAGGCTCTAATTCTTAAGTTTCTTGATCTTCCTCAAATGGTAATTTTCTTTCTGTTGAATTGTTCTGTCTGCTTTGTTTTCCAGTTACTCTGTCATTGCAGAATTAGTTGATGATAATTTTGAAGGTTCTCTTCGCAGACCACTCAGCTGGAAGTCCTTGTCTGGGTTGAACAGAACGACTGTTAATGCTTCTAAGGTAAGTGTAAGATGCTAATTTTAAAATAGCTTTAAAATGATAAATGCACAGGTTAGTTCCAAAGAACAGGGAGTTGGAGTGAGGCTGGAAAGAGAAACCTCCTGTTTCTAGTCTGCTGAGGAACATGTAGACAAACAGGTATTTGTCAATACCCAGATGAATTCTGGAAGAAAAGTTCTGTCGCCTGTGGGAACGTTGAAAGTTGTGTGAGGAACTGCAGAAAGACCCAAGGGACACTTCTTTCCCGTTGGCCACTTCTGTTTTTAAAGCCCTCTCCATCTACCAGGATTTCTTGTGAACAGAGAAACTGAAAGTTTCCAAAAGATTTCCTCTTGCTGGAGCCCCAGTGTCGTGCTTCCATGCTCACAGCCATGCTGCTCTGGGGTTGGGTTAGAATTCTGGTTTATGTTCTAGCAGTATTATGCTTTGATAAGGAAAATGAAATATGCATATTATACAGCTCTCCACAGCTTGGTTTGCAGAAGATATCTTGTAGGAAACTTGGTATCTGCATTTCTAATTAACCTAAAACTTGTATAGAAAGAAATCAGTTTAAATTAATGCTTTCCGTTTACAACAGGAACTTATGTTATGCTACTTGATTAGACCATCTGACATGACTGAAAAAGAGATGTCCACACCAGAATGTATGAAAAGAATTAAGGTTCAGGTGAGTAATTGCTTCGCTCCTTTGCCTGTGCAGCTTTGCCCTGGGGCAGCTGGACAGCTGACTGCAAGAGCCCCCTTGAACTGTTGCTTGCTTTTTAGCATGCTTCGTCTTTTGCATGCATAGCTGCAATAAAATAAACTAGAGAAAGAAAATGAAAAGTGCATGACAGGCTGTTTAAAGACTGAAGATCTAAATTTTAATGTTGCTGCAACAGTGAATGTAAGCATTTGCATGGGGAATTGGGGATACCTATGGAGACTGTAAGGTTGATGTATATTTAAAAATAAAGGGAGAAAAACATGTGAGAGACCAGCTCACTTCAGGAACAAATGCAGTCATGTCATCTTTCTCAGTGTTCCCAGAATGTATGTCCATTTGCTGAAGGCTTGATCCCCATCCCTCACTGATTGCCTGTATCTCCCTCCCCGCCACTTCCATAATCATTGCTATTTTTTTATTTCAGGAACTGATTGTAACTCGTTGGGTTTCCTCCCGTGAGCGCAGTGAGCAAGATGAACTCTGACTGTATAGGAAAAACTTCTTGGGTTTTTTTTAAACCCCATCTTCTTGTGTTTTACCTGCTCTTCTCACGATGAACAATTGCCTCAGAACAGTTACTCAGGTGGTATGTATAAATGCTATTTAAAATTACGTATATTGTGTTTACAGTGTTGTCTTGAGAAACATAACTATAATAATGCATATGAAGGGGAAAAAAATTAAAGCTGTGTCCCTACTCGGAATACTTGTTTGTCTCCTTAAAAACTTACAAATGTGTGTGTTTGAATGGTGATCAGGCTGCAGTGATCGATTGGTAATGGTATTTTTAATGTTACCACAGCTCCAGGCTTCAGTGCTGAATAGGCACTATGGCCTGCAGAGCCACTGAAGGCCCAAACCAGAATGTCCACCTGAAAGCTGAAGCAGTGAGGGACAAACAGTTTTCTGGGAATGCCTCACAGATTCTTCAGGGTTGAGTTTGGGGGTTATGAGGCTCACTTTGTTTTGCAGCTCACCGCAGGGTACTTTCTTCAGAAATGAGGACTTAAACTTGATAGTCCTCGAGTTTAAAGTTTACTTGTGGTAATTACAGCAAGTCAAATAACCTTTGGGGATACCTATGGTACTGTTTTTCTTCAACGAAAGCCTGACTTCATAGCCTTCATGAAGTTGCCCAAGCTTAGATTTGGTTGTTGCGACATTGAGCGTTATAACATGTTGCTGTTAGGTGCCTAGACCCTGGAATTTGGTGGCTTCTTTCCACAAGCACTGCTCAGAATTGAGGAACTCTTCCCAGAATGTGCAAGGATTTAAATTCATTCTGGGGCTTATGCACCTAACAGCAAAGCTGGGGTGTTGGGCACCTTTCCCCACTTGGGTAAGATGTCTTTCTTCCCCTGGGATTTGCAGCGTAAGATCCCTCCTTGGAGTAAGAGTCTAATATTGCCCCGGGACAAGAAGATGTTCTGACCCCAATTTGATGCCCTTTACTGTTGTTGAGGATGGGTTACTGTGCAGAAAATAATGCAGACTGACTGAGCTAGTGAGAGGAAGCCAGTCTCTCTTGCTTGGCAAGTATGTGTCTCAGTTTCAGCACTGCTTTTTTCCTCTTGTATACAGCAACTCCAGTATACTTTTTTTCCCATAGTACACTAGTAGCTCTCTTTGCCCTGGCCTACCATGTGTTATAAAAGACAGGGAGACACCACTGCATTTTCTGTAGAGAGAGGCATAGGAAGGTGCTGAGCAGCTATGCCTTGCTACACTGCCTGCTATTTTCTAACTTTCTTGTAAGATTTAATCATTTAGATTGCAGGTTCCTAAATATGATGTTTGCTATTGCTAAGACACATTTGGAAAGCAAACAAACCAACCCATCAGGTATTTGGGTCTTTGAAGTAGAGTCAGGATGTTTAAGTATTGACTATGCTGCATTTTCAGTATTGCTGCTTCACATTTGGGCATTTCAGTTCTTAGTGTTTGAACAATAAGCTTCCTTGCTTCACTGTGAGAGAACACATTTGCTGCTGTGGTAAGGATACGGCTGGTGACAGTGACACTGCTTTGGATTTTCTTGGTGCTGTTTTCATCCACTGTAAAGGGGGTTGCTTTGCCTCCTGCTCACAGGAAATATTCCAGGGCTGATAAAAATTCTGTCAACTCGGACTGTTTCCGCCAACACAAAAACACAGTTGTGTTCACTTAGCCAGCTTAGATCATAAAGCCACGTCATGAATGCAGGAAACTACATACAACCCAAAGTGGAAGATCTTCTGTCTTTGCTTTCGTGTATGACTTGTACTGGAAAGTTGCAAAATGAAAATCATAATAGTGTAATAGCTTTTTCAAGCTGAACAGGTATGTATGTGTGGACTGTACGTAGCAAGGTGTTTTTTCTACCTGCAGATCACTGTGCTTCATGTTTCAGTACTGTTGTACCAAATAACATCAGATAGTTGTACCGTAGCACTGATTCTTGCCGTTGTGTTTATGGTTTACCTATTAGAAGGCAGTACTTAAGTGAAGCATGGATTCTGATGCACTCAGAAATAGCATGCCATGATTTCTTTTTGTAAGCCAAATCCTCGCTGAAGAATTCTGGCTTGCACTGGGAGTGGGCAGTTGGGAGGTCTCTAACAGCAGCAGAATTGCACACTTCAAGCTGGGTGTCTCTGTTGTGTTTTTTGAGTATGTTTTTAAAGAAGCTGTAATTCAGAATTTAGCGAGAAGTGGAAGAACGTGGAGGAGGGGGAAGCGTGTGAAGTGTGTGTGCAGCTGGAGAGTACTGGGGACAGGGTTAATGCAGATTGTGTGCACAAAAATATGAACTAGATGTGGACAAAACCCTAATCACTTGTAAGTTATTTTCTCAAAGATGGAGAAATAATCATATCTAGACTAAAACCAGTGTACTTTGCAGAAATCAGAAGTGAAAAAAGCTGAAATTCTTTTCTTGAACTGGAATATAAGTAAAGTGAAACCGCACAAAATTATGGACTGCATAATTCTGACCTCAGCATACACTTCTGTGTAATGTACAGTACGTTAAAGTGCTGTTTGAAAGATCTTTCTGATTTCTTTTAACTTTATTTTTGTTAAGTTCTAAAGTTTTAACTCTTGAGATAAATCCTGAGGATTTTTTTGCTTATTACAGATACAGACATTAAATTATTATCTTTTAATACTAAGCACCTGTCTTGGTTTGAGGAATAAATGTGCAAAATGAAAAGAACTGGAAAAGAATACATCTGGCAAAGAAGCTGGATTTATTTGTTGTTATGAGTAATTAAAGGAAAATAACTGCATGTAGTGAATCTGCATTAAGTCATGGACTTTGGATTTCAGCAGCACGCAAGGACAAATTCCCTTTCTTCACCCATCAGTAAACAAATGTGACAGAAAAAACCCAAAACATTCTGCTTTGCTACAGCTTAAGTTATCGCAGTTCATTTGTTAAAACCCTTAATTACACAGCAGTTATGATTTCTAGTATTAAATGCCATGGCAGAACAAGGCATATAGTGAATGTAAACAGGAGAACATTTTTCCATCTGACTGGTTCCCAGAGGTTTTGTGTAGTCTGTACATCGTATGCATGTCGTCTCACTCACATGCACAAGTTCAGTTTCATGATCCTTCCATGACGTGCAGGTTAATAAGTTAATTGTGTTTTTAAATACATTGGATGATCGCACATCTGAAGCCCTGAGAACTGGAGTCGTAACACTTCCTTTTCCTATTGCATGTTGTTGATATAGCAGCTTGTCATTTTCAGCACTGTTTTTCTCGATCAGGAAGGGGTACAATGTAGAAATCGTTAGCTGTCAGCTCCTGGTGAAGAGTTATGTATTTGGAAGCTTTCCTTGTCTGTGGGATCACAAATGTCTCTGTAAATTCACTTTTACTCATCTGCTGTTTCCCTTGTGCAGTGAGCACGCTGTTAATGAATGCCAGTGCAAACGTGTAGCAGTTGTGGTCATGCTCTTCGTACCTAGGAAAAGTATCCCATTAGTAAGAGTTAGCACAAATCCATTAACTACTGTGCGTGGAGGAATATTGTACTGAGTGCAATAAAGAAATGCATGCTCTCCAAGAACTGTGGCCACCTTCCTTTAATGCTGGTGCTTAAATACATTCTGTTCATTGCAGCTTGTACTTTCCAGCCAGGGACACTAGAAACTGTGAGCATGGAAAAAAAAAAAGGCAAGCTGCAGACACTACAATAATGAGTTCTTATTCTTTATACTTATTTGGCTTTCACCTTGTAAACCTTTGCTCTTCCACATATTGTTACTCTGTTATCTTGAAAACTTCCTGCAGCAGTAATGTTAATTGTGTGCCACCACGTGCACTTTTCACTGTGGCATTAACTCGGAAGCTTACTTAAAATCAAGTCAATTCTCCTGCTAAGGTGTTGATACAGTTGCTCTACCGTGTACCAGCCAGGCTCCCACAGGCAATCATTTGTGCCAGTCCCGCAAGAACAGAAATACTGACTGAATGGGAGGAGTACCTGTTTAAAATGTTCTTGCCGCCTTTCTTTTTTTAACCCTGCTACCCTAACCTAGGAGCATATGGCACTTTCCTGTTCTTTTCACTGTCTGAACGTTTCTCAGATTCTCCCAAATATTTCATGTTGGCCACTAATAACTTTAGTAATTTATTCCATTCCCTTGCCAGTGTTGCTTTTTCCCCTGGCCCTGCATAACTGCGTTTGACACAGACCTGCTCAGGCTCCTCTTTGCCATCTGCCTCATCCTTAACCTTTTTCCGTAACTGCCTCATCCTCTGTCATTTCTCCCTTGTTCCTCCTGGCCCTGTGACTCACTCTTTGCCCTGTACTGTCAGCGGCTCCGTGGTCCATGAGCCTTGCCTCTCAGCCCTGGGGATGTACAAAGGGTTTTGGCAAGATCTGAGGACTCTGGCTACCAAAAGCAACCCTGCGACCCTGAGCCCACTTCAGGGCTGCTCCCTGTTTTCTGCAAAGCTCTTCTGGTTTGTTAAGAGTATCTGAAGGGACCAACGAGCTCCCATTTACTAAGCAAGTGATATGCTACAGTATATTTCCTTTACCAAAATAATTATTAAAGCAATTGAGTAACTCCAGCAGTGGCCATCATCCCTGTGCAGTTCAAAACACCTGGAAATGACACTGAAAACAATGGTGGATTCACCAGCTCAGGGCTGAGTCTGCAGAGCACCGCAGCGTGTCTGGGTAACAGGAGCACACAAGTGCTTTCCTGATCAGTTCCACAATTAAGCAAAGCACGTAGCACCTCATTTCTGTTTGCAGACTATGTCTGTGTTTATAATGCAAAAGCTTCTGTAATAAACTTCTCATTACCATCTGTGTCTTCCAGTTAGCATCTCATTTTTGGGAAGCATCTCTCTATATCCTGACAAGCAAACCCAGAACCTCTCAGTCATTTAAGACACTGTTGGCCACAGCTGTGGCCGCCATTCTTTGCTGCTGTTATACACCATCCTTCCAGTAGATCAGGCTTGGCCTGAACTCAAAGGGGCTACAGGATTAGTTTAGCACAGTTCCTGTCCATTGACTAAACAGAGGAGTTAATTTAACATCTTAAGAAAAAAAAAGACATTTTCAGCAGTTTAGTGGTCACTGGTCTATTGGTGGAAAAAGTAGGTCACCATGTAATGAAGTGGCAGACAGAGGAAAACCAAAGAAAACCCTGTAGAAGAGATGCACACATCTACCTGCCTTCTTCCAGTGCTTACTTAACATCGAGTTAATTTTATTAGTAATGCTAAGGAACTGGGAACTGCCAAAGTATCAGAGAGACACAGCTCCTGTTGGCATTGTCAGTTCCACAGACATGTAAAAACTCTGTTCTAGGTCAAATTCCTTCGTCTCCTGGTATCAGGGATATAATGTTCTCTCTGAAATTTTGCAGTCAAGCACATACCGAGTTGCTAAGACCTGCTTCTGATTTGTTGTGGGCTTTTTATTTTCTTTTATGTAAGATGACATCTATGTTCTTAAACTTAACCCCTTCACAGAGCTATGGCCAGGCAGGCTGCTTGTTCCTGATGAGCAGTTCGAGGACTGGTGTTTCCTCGGAGAGCAGGTTGCTTTGTCATCAAGCAGCTCGCTCATGTGGCAGTGCATGCTTTAGCTGGGCTGCGTAGCTCGTAACGCTGTCAGCAGGCGTTAACTTCAAGGACAGCTACAAAGAACTGAAAGTTCCTGTTGGAAGTACTGGTTTAATTCAAAGTGTAATTCTGTATTTAACTGTCTAAAGCAAAATTACAAACCAGCTGGGAGAGCTGGAAATGAGCCTGACTGTGTTTCACATTTCTCATCACTGACAACAGAGTTGTCATCTGAAAGCAAGATCTGGGCAAGAATCCCATCAGTGCGGTCAGCTTTTAAAGGCAAATACGCCTGAAACTGTTGAAACCTTGAAGAAATAATTACAGAATTGCACCTGGACTTCATTACTCTTCAAGGTCAGGTTTTGCTGAACTGGTGGGGTGTTCTCCTCACAAAATTCTTTTGTTGCTGAAGAAAGCTTCGCTGAAATGATCTTTTCTTTTAGAGCCTTTACATTCCAGCCAGATGGGTTTGTCAGGACTTAAAAATACTCTTTTTTTTTTCTGTTTAGCAAGGCCAGTAAGTTTTAAGACAGCCTGACAATGTCATTTAGAAGAGTCTGTTAGAAACCTGTGCCCTAAAGGAGCAAGGCTCTCAATGAACCACAAGCCTCGCAGGGTCCAAACCAGAACAGCCCAAGGTATCATCCCAGATGAGAAACTCCTATTGCATCCAGCTTTTAAACCACATACCTGTGAGGAAGCCAGGCCTCTCCCACAGAAAATTCCTCTAGGAGCTTATCCCACTGCTGAAGCAGCCCAAACATGTCTGGCTGTACTAGGGGGATGCTGATGCACTGTTCCCAGCCAGTTTCAGCTCTGTGCATGCCCTCCTGGTTGTAGTTATACACCACGCCTGAAAAGAAGAGAGTAAGATTGTCAGGTAGCACTTGATAATCAGATCCATATCCTTTCTGTGTGTGTGCATTGTTTTTTAAGTGATGAAAACTACTAGTTTTCCGTACTGCCATTCTTTCTTAGACTGGCTATGCCATGGCTGCCCGTCGGTGGCTGCAGAGTAGAAAATGCAGCACTTGCTTTTGTCCAAAACCTCATGTTTACAACGTAATTTGAGATGTCTTTGGATAATGAAAACAACTTAAGGACAACCAGGCTCTTCTTTAAACCCCTAAACTACACCATCTTTATATTAAATGTCAAGTGAGATTTTGCAGGGTGAGCCTACAATAGGAGAACTTGATATTTATTTTTTTTTAATGTGGCTTTTTTAATGTTTTGGGGTTTTTTTTTCATTAGGGTTATTTTTAGAAGTAGCAAAAACTGTGTTTAAGAGTAAAATTTCCTTAAACTTCTTCTAAAAAGTAGGCTGCTTATCTTTTTACTTCCCTGTGTCAGGAAGAGATGTCTCCTGTCCATTCTGTTCTGTCCAGTGGTGTATGACTGACTGGAAGCTCTGTGTGCTCACTGCTGCAAAGCCAGGTCAATTCTTGGACTCAAGAATTTTTTTTGTCTTTACATGACCTTTTTGCAGTGAACAGCTAAGCTCCCAGTCCTGATACCTGCAGCATGCTGAGGCAGTACATGTTCTTTAACAGCATGAGCCAGCAATGTGCCCTTGAGCCAAGAAGGCCAATGGCATCCTGGGGTGGATGAGAAGGGGTGGTTGTAGGGCAGAGAGGTTCTCCTGCCCCTCTGCTCTGCCCTGCTCACACCACAGCTGCAATCTTGGGTCCAGTTCTGGGCCCTCAGGTCAAGAAGGACAGGAACTGCTTGAAAGAGTCCAGCAGGGCCACAAAGATGCTGGAGGGAGTGGAGCATCTCCTGCTGAGGAGCGGCTGAGGGAGCTGGGGCTCTTGAGCTTGGAGCAGAGGAGACTGAGGGGTGCCCTCTTTCATGGGGATCCATTTGGAAAGGGCAGTATCAGGAGGAAGGAGCCAGGCTCTGCTCTGGGATGGCCAATGCCAGGACAAGGGGCAATGGTCCCAAGCTGGAGCACAGGAGGTTCAACCTGAAGATGAGGCCAAACTTTGTCAGTGTGAGGGTTATGGAGCATGGCCCAGGCTGCCCAGAGAGGTTGTGGAGTCTCCTTGTCTGGAGACACCCAAAGCCCTTGGCCGTGTTCCTGTGTGACTGCTCTGGTGATCCTGCTCTGGCAGGGGTTGCACTGGGGGAGCTTTCCAGGTCCCTTCCAGCTCCTGACATCTGGGACTCTGTGATCAGATACTTGGACACTGCAGCCTTGCATTGTTAACAGGTACCAACAAACCAGATATTGCCCAACAGCAGAGGTGGCTCCCAAATCACTCATGCAATTTGCATTAACCTTTGGTGCAGGGGTGAAGCGCAACTGGGCATACTCCCTAAATGTGAGGTGTGGGGCAGCAGTTTGTAAGGTGACTGTAAACTACTTTTTACCGTTACTATTGGTTATTCCAACATGGAGATCAGATTTCCCGTCGTATCCTCTGAAAGAAAAACAGCAATGTTGGTGATGGAGGTGAGCACCGTCCCTGCCTCCTTCGTCCCGGCGTGCCAAGACGCCACCTGGCCCAAGCTGAGGCTCGGGAGGCGAAGCTCTGAAGGATGGCAAAGGCGCTTTTACTTCCAGACACAGCTCGGTGAGGACTCCCCCGGAGGTCGGTACCGCCTCCCCGGCCCAGGACCGGGTGAAGACCCCTGGCACCCGAAGGGACCCAGCGGAGGCAGCGGACCCAGCACTGGAGAAACGTGTGGGTACAAGGGGAAAGTGGCCTCCTCGCCGGTCCCGCCC